TGATGGGCTTGAGGTTCTTCTGGGTCTTGAGGGTCTTGGGGGTCTTGGAGGTCCTGGGGGTTTCTGATGGGCTTGGGGGTCTTGGGGGTCTTGGAGGTCCTGGGGGTTGTGATGGGCTTGGAGTTCCTGAGGGGGTCTTATGAGGTCCTGGTGGTCTCGAGGGGTCCTGGAGTTCCTTGGAATTTCTCCTCCAGGTCCTCTGGAGCCAGTAGAGCTGGATCTGGTGCCAGTGATGGCAGTTGGTGACAACCAGGGGGTGACATGTGGTGTCCCCGGGGTGGCTCCCGTCCGGAACCTGACGTTGACCCTTCGTCTTGGTGACAACGTCCTGCACACCAAAACCTTCTGGGACCAAGAGCAGGATGAGCCAGTGACAGCCTGGGTGACAGCCTGGGTGACAGCTCAACGTGGGGACAATGGCCAGAGTGTCACCTGCCAGGCCCTGCTGGACCTGGCACCCCATGGACCCAGTTTCAACATCACGTCCCCACCACGGGTCTTGACTGTCTATGGTGAGCTGGGCAGGGGGTTGTTCCCTGGGGGTGGGTACTGGGGTGGTGAGGTTTGGGAACCCGGGGACAGTTTTGGGAGAAGGAGGATGTTGAGGGGTCGGGGAGTGTCCAGAGAAGGGGAATGGAGATGGGGAAGGGAGTGGAGGACATGGAGGTGGGGCTGGAGAATGAGGAGAAGGGGCTGGAGAACAAGAAGAATGGGCTGGAGGACATGGAGAAGGGGCTGGAGGACATGGAGAAGGGGCTGGAGAACAAGGATGAGGGACTGGAGGATGAGGAGAAGGGGTTGGAGAACAAGGAGAAGGGGCTGGAGAACAAGGATGAGGGACTGGAGGACAAGAACAAGGGGCTGGAGAAGGAGGAGAAGGGGCTGGAGAAGGTGGAGAAGGGGCTGGGGAAGGTGGAGAAGGGGCTGGGGAAGGTGGAGAAGGGGCTGGAGAAGGTGGAGAAGGGGCTGGGGAACTTCTGAGGAGCACCTGAGGCAAAAAGCCCTGGAGATGGGACCATGGTTTAGTGTTGACCTTGGCAGTTCTGGGTCAACGTTTGGACTCGATGCTCTCCAAGGTCTTTCCCAAGCCAAACAATTCCATGATCCCATAATTCCTTGGTCTTCCAGCAAGCCCACCTGGGTCAGGGCACTCGTACCAACATCTATGCTGGGACCTTGAAGGTCTCTGGGGCTTCTGGGACTGAAGATGATGTGGAACCCAACAATAATAGCCAGGAACTTCACGTGGTCCTCAAGGTCCTGGATCCCAGTCACAGGGACATCACCCTGGTGAGCCCAACCTGGGGAGAAATGGGATGGATGGGAAGTCCAAGGGGTTCTCCTGGGGTTCTGAGGTGGTCTCCATGAGTTCTCACTCCCTGGAGGTGTCTCAAGCCCTGGAGATGGTGCTGAGGGACATGGGTTGGTTGGTCAAGTGGGGTTGGGTGGTTGGAGCTGATGATCTCCAAGGTCTTTCCCAACCCAATGAGTCCTTGAGGGTCCTCATATGGTTGGACTTGATGATCTCCAAGGTCTTTCCCAACCCAACCAAGTCCATGAGTCCATTGATCCCCATCCCTGGAGGTGCCCAAAGCCCTGGAGATGGTGCTGAGGGACCTGGTTGGGTTGGTTGAGTTGGGTTGGATGGTTGGACCTGATGATTCAAGGTCTTTCCCAATCCAGAGGAGCCCATGGGAGTCCCCATATGATAGGACCTGATGATCTCCAAGGTCCTTCCCAACTGGACTGAGCCCATGAAGGTCCCCAGAGGGTTGGACCTGATGATCTCCAAGGTCTTTCCCAACCCAACCAAGTCCATGACTCCATGAATTTTCATCCCTGGAGGTGCCCAAAGCCCTGGAGATGGTGCTGAGGGACCTGGTTGGGTTGGTTGAGTTGGGTTGGATGGTTGGACCTGATGAT